TTTTGGCTAGGGTTTTATTTTTGGAGGGGTTTATGGAGACTTTTTCAACCAACAATAAACAGGGGAAAAATGATCCTCTTTATTAATAAGGGACTCTTTGCGTTCACGTACGTATATCCAAGAAAGATAATGTTAGACATATCACTATTGATTTTAGGCTTGTTTTCACTTTGGTATCTCAAAAGTTTATCCCATTTTTAATTTTGATATCCTAAAGTATTTTTTAATGCTACTGAAAGTTTCATTTTGCTTTGCTACCTTTTCGTCTATAATTTAATTTTATGTTAAACTGGTATCACATTAAACATGCAATACTGCTGCCGCTGGGAACATTTGATTAGTCGGGTCTTAGAATAGGGCAAAATATATAGACTTAAAATGTATCTCATGCTAAGCCGTGGGGTTCAAATTTAACGAAAAAAAATCTAACGATATGTAGTTGGCGGTATCAACGTGAAATGAGGTTTCCCTGAGGGTTTATTGCCTATGAAATATCTGGGCCTTCCTCTGACTGCAAAAAGACTCTCATACACTGATTGTTCTAGTCTTATTGGTAAAATTTACAGTCAATTCCAATCCTGGCAGCTAAACAAATGCTTATCCTATGCTGGCAGACTTGAGCTGATTAAATCTGTTATTTTGGGAATTCAAAACATATTGGCTAAGCAATTACATCCTCCCAATTAAAGCTCTGGAAAAGATTGACAGTATGTGTTCTGACTTTCTGTGGGGGCACAAATTTCACTTAGTAAAATGGGGATCTGTTTGTCAAGGTAAAGAATATGGGGGTCTGGGTATATTCTCAGCTAAATTCTGGAACTATGCAGCTGCCACTAAGCTCTTGTGGTTGATTCATCTTAAAAAGGATCTCCTATGGATCAAGTGGGTTCATGGAAACTATCTACATAACCAAGGTATATGGACTGTTCAACCTAAGACTAATGACTCATGGATGTGGAGGCAACTCCTTAAAGTGAGAGATTTGCTTTTGAGTAAGTTTGGAAGTGCTGTTATTGCAATGAATGTTATAGCAGATTGTTGCTCAGAAGGAAATCTTCGTTTATCTGCAGTTTACAGAGCACTTATGCAATCTACTAGTACAGCTGCTTGGGCTAAAACAGTTTGGGATGGCTTCCTATACCCTAAACACTCCTTTGTATTTTGGTTAGCATGTCATTCAAGGCTTCTTACCAAAGATAGATTGTGCCGAATGAATATCTTGAGCACCAATCAAATTCACTGTGTTCTGTGTGACAGTCACCAGATAGAGGCTAGGGATCATGTCTTCTTTGAGTGCAAATATTCAGCTGAAGTGTGGAACTTGGTGATGAGCTGGTTGGGGTATAAATGGAGATCCTGTTCATGGAGTATGCTACTGAACTGGTACTCTTTCAATTTGAAAGGCAAGAATCCTATGAAGAAGCTGAAAAGGATGGTATTATCTACTGCTGTATATATGATTTGGAGGGAGAGAAATTTAAGAATTTTTCAAGATAAGAGGAGGATGCCTGCTCAAGTCTTGAAGGATATTAAACTTTTAGTTTTCTATAAAGTTCTAAATGATAGTTCACATGTGCATATGAAAGAACTACTCGAAAATTTGTAATTTTCTTTTGGTTTCCAGGTTTTTCTGGTTCTTTGTAATACCTTACATGTTCAATTTGGGAGATGAATAAAATTTACAGTTCATTGACCAAAAAAAAAACGTGAAATGAGGTTAATAAAATTGTAGGGCATCAAACTGTTGAAAAATACTTTGAGATATCAAAATGGAGAAAGAGTAAACTTTATAGTATCAAAGTGAAAATAGCTATGCTGAGCCGGAACAAGTTCGTCATCTATCTGCATGGGATACAGATGACCACCATGCCTTGTTTTCCAATATAAGGCAGTTCTTCTTCTTGAAAGTAGGTAGATTAAGCCTCTCAATCCCTACCCCTTTTTTTAAGGCATGGTAATTAGGGATGATAATTGACACAAAGTACTAATGCTATGATTTGAGAAGCATATTTAATGTTGGAATGTGATGACTCTGGCATTGAAGCGGCCATGCCACGTTGGAAACTGTATTCTGACATAGCCGAAATAGTAGACCACTACTACGAACCCTATTAGAACTTGCCACATGCTGGCGGTCAGTTAAAAAAATACAGGGGGCCTGCCCACATCCGCTTTTTTGTTTTGGGGCCTTGAAACATTTTTCCCAAAAAAGAAAGAAGAAAATTCATAAGAAAGTCATTTTCTCTTGTTTGGTTACCTTTCTGAGAAAAAGATAAAGAAAATTATCACAACATAATTTTAATTCATACTTTTTGGAATTAGATTTAGATTTTAAATAATTTATAAAAAATAATTAAATTAAATTATGATTCTATCATTTTTTAAAAAATTTACATGTTACCGAACATGTTTGCACAATCTTAACTCAAGAAAACAATTCTAAAGTATAATCCATTTCTAGTCACAAAGTCTATTACAATCAATTTCATATAGAAAATCTTAACCAACAAAGTCTATTGCAATCAATTTCATATAGAAGATCTTAAGGGACTGTTTGGCTCGTTTTTTAACTCGGTAGAAAAGTTTTACACCGTCTCCACATTAGATTTTTCGTGGTCACGTAGGATATAAGTTTTCTGTCGGTTTTTTTCCCATCTTTGGTTCGCTAGGGTTAAAGAAGGGAAACTCAGTGAAAATCACCGTCACATCAGATTTTTTTCTCTTCCCCAATTCCTTCCTCAACCTCGTGAAATCGACGAAAACTGCAGCTACGTCGGCTTTTTGCCATATAAACAAAAGTTCTCCCTTTTTTCCATACGAACCAAACACAAGAAAAATAAATACATTAGTTTCCCACCATTTTTTGTGTGAACCAAAGCGAAACAATCTATTTCTTGAAAAGTTTGGAAAACTCAAAACTTGTGTTTTTGTACATATAAATGTATTTCCCTATATCTAGGAAACAAACCAAACAGCCACTAAGCAACAAAGTCTATTACAATCAATTTCATATAGAGAATCTTAAACAGAGAGAGAGAGAGAGAGAGAGAGAGAGAGAGAGAGAGAGAGAGAGAAAATATGTCGAAGTCCTTGGTTTTTAACTTTAATGAGCCCATCAAAACATCAATCTCGCATCCTCCATCCCCTGAAATTAATTCAAAAAATTGTAAATAAGTAGAATATAAACATCAAAAACCTATAAAACGAAGTCTTAACATTATTTGGCACCTGATCCGTGACAGATTCATAACCACTAAAGCCCCAATTACTTGGCACCTGATCATTAGCTACAGTTATGTCTAAGACCGAAGTCAAGTCACATACCAATAGTGCTGGTGAATGTCAAACTATAGGCTTTTAAATCTAAGACCTAATGGCCTTTAAAATCAATAAGAAACATTAGGCAGATAACAGATAATTAGCAAAAAAGGTACACTAATTAATGCACGTGGTCTAAACTAATAGGCCTTTGAATTAGCCTAGGTTCACAGAATAATCTGAACGTGTAGTAAAACTAACTTGATCACATCTCACTTTTTGGATTCCAATAACCCAAAATACTAAAACTATAATGAAATAAGGAAATTATCCTCTTCTTATATAGATGATGACTGAACCAACATAAACATACAACAGGTGATCTGACAAAGTCCATATAGGATGTTCATCAAAGATTTTACACAACCTTTTCATACACTTGTTCTTGTAACAAAAAATTCACTATGTATTTGAATTATAGGACGTTCATCAAGTTTGAATTATAGCAGACAAAAGAATCACTACGCGATTGAATCAGTCTTACGACAAGTTCAAACTCAGAAATCAAGTAGATACCTCGTCTCTGTAAGTAGGTCTGAAGATAGAAACCAGCAGATCTTATTAGATAGAAGAAACTATGAGATCTTATTAGATAGAAGAAACTGTGAGATCTTATTAGACAGTCACAAATCTGAACTGGGATCACCATGTGTGTTTGCCACAAGTATCATGGCTTCAGACCCATATATATAAACAGTAAGTATATGGAGAGATGCTCAACATTTACAGTTACGACCCATTCTATGTCCTTTCATCGATACATTTCCAGTTCAGAACGAGGCTGAAAACAGTTCTAACTACCACCCCTTCAGTGACCTACTTACACCTGAATTACTAGAAAACAGTTCAGTAAACTGACACCTGAATTACTAGAAACCCAACACAGTGAACACAATCAAGTTCTACTATATATTTGCACATAAAGTGAACTACAATTGAACAAAATACAAGGAGAAGTAAGCATAATGGATCAATCAACTAGTACCATGGGCAAAGTTCAACATACCTTTATGTAATCTTCCCAAACTTTTGGCTCCACATCCATCATCTTTATCACTCGATTAAATGCAAATTCATTCTCTGAAAAGCCAAAGCAAAATATGATGAGACACCTGGCAAGAAATATATGACGAGAGACTTGGAAAGAAATACACAGCAAGGTAAATATAGAGAAAATTAAATTCCTCACCGGATCAGCGGAAGTGGAACAGAGACAGAAACAGTCAAGAAAAGGCAATTTAAATTTAAAAAAAATCATAAACTCTTGATGCAGAAAGCAAATCGAGTACATGATAAAGGATATGCATATTCTTCTAACTGATAAGATTCATCACCAAAAAAGTAGACAAGTGTTCTTCGAGTGAGATAAACAAAAACTTTTATGTAAAGACAAATTCAGCAGTATGTGAGTGCATTTCCCTCGAGAAAGAATTCCAGTAAGTGACTTGCCGCCATCAACTTCCACATATACACGCACGTCTCCATCATCCTTTGATTTTCCAAGAGAAGCCTACATTAGACGGATGGAAGGTAAGACATGCAAGATTAGCTAATAATTAACCTGTGAAAGACAAATCAAGAGCAGAATTCACGTGTGAAAGGTGCACAAGCATATCTGTATGTTATCTCAATCAAAAGATATCTAACTAGTTGTTACGGGGTTCATGTTGTCTCATTACTAAGGAATTTCAATTAAACTTTTAAAAAAAATGATTTTATTACTGCTTACTATTTATTGTTTTTCTAAATGAAGAACATGACATCTGTACTAGGTGCGGAGAGCAGGAAAGTTTAACAAGCTTTGCTATTTGTAAATAAAGTAGGCTCACAATACCAAAAAACTGCTAAAGCTTTGGGGTATATTTATAGAATGCACGTTTCACACTCAGCCGTTTCACATGAGCAGTTGAGTAAAAAATTATGTCCAATATTTGCCTAGAAAATTGGACGCTTCACGGTTATGGCCTTTACCAAAACAATACAAATTTTGTTTCAAAAACAACTCCAAGTCAAGAACAATATAATCTTGCATATGAATGTCCAAAAATGGCACACTTCCAAGGAAATTTTGCAATTGTCACAATAATGGATGTGATGGTTAATCTGTCCTACACATTAAGGGGAGTGTCCCTAGTTTGTAGGAGGTCATGTTAGTGGAAGAAGTTAGAAGTTAGTGGATAATGTTAGTGGAAGAAGTTAGAAGTTAGTGGATAATGATAGTGGAAGACGTTAGTGGATAATGTTAGTGGAAGAAGTTAGAAGTTAGTGGATAATGTTAGTGGAAGAAGTTAGAAGTTAGTGGTATGATCTTATATATATGTAAGCAATCATGTAACTTTTATACATGAAGAAGAAAAACTCCCTGCTCAAAAAAAATTCGGCTCTCTCCCTCTCTCCCTCTCTCTCTCGTTTTTCGTGACAAATCTCGGTAGGTACTTAGGCCGATCCCAATTCAAAGCCATCAAGTGGTATCAGAGCGCAGTGTATGCCTAAGTTTCAACCAAGATCTGAAGATATGACGAGTGCGGAGAAGATGACGACCAAGGTGGGTTCGCTCACTCTTCAATACCTGACGCTATCGAGAGATAGCTACGTTTCGTGGGCAATCAAGATGAAAGTCTACATGAAGGCTCAAGATATGTGGGACGCTGTTGAGCCCGCGACAGACGTGACCGTGGAAGTCAGGAAGGATCAGATGGCGTTGGCGGCCATCTATCAGGGGATTCCTGAAGAGACTTTGATTATGATTGCAGAGAAGCAGACGGCAAAGGAGGCATAGGAGACGTTGAAAACAATGCATCTAGGAGCGGACCGTGTGAGGAACGCGAAGGTGTAGACCTTGAAGTCCGAGTTCGAACTTCTCCAGATGAAGGAGAATGACAACGTCGACGAATTTTCGACGAAATTGACAGGAGTCGTCAACAAGATCTGGGCTTTAGGCGGCGAGATGCAGGAGAACTATGTCGTCAGAAAGCTACTTCGGACGGTACCGAAAAGGTTTCTTACTATCGTCTCCACGATTGAGCAGTTCGGGGACATCAACATCATGACACTCGAGGAGGCGATCGGGCGTCTCAAGGCCCACGAGGAGCGGACACGTTTTTTTGAGACAATGTCGACGACCACCTATTGTTGACGCATGCGGAGTGGCAAGCAAGGGGCAAGAAGAACAGTGAACTCCTTCTCGGAACATAGCGATTCAGTGGCGCATGTGACGAGTGTGCTCACGAGCCGGTCCACGGCCGTGGCGCTGCAGGCGGCCACGGTGGCCAGGTGCCACGGCGGCGGCCAGGGAGGTCAACTAATCACGGTGGCAGTGGCCGTGGAGGAGACCAGGCGGCCAGGTGGGCCAAGCAGTTCGAAGGTCGGGGAGGCCTCTGGCGTTGCGGTTTTCGGCCCACAGCGGCGAGTCACCACTTGAGGCAAGTTAGCAACAAACGGTGGTCGAGACAAATCCAACATCAAGTGCTTTAATTGTGGAGTATACAGGCACTTTCAGTCGGAGTGTCACAAGCAACGTCGCAATCACGATCAGGAGGCTCATCTCACCCGAGTCTATGACGAGGAGCCAACCTTAATGATGACTGTGTTAGAGGAATCATCCACTATCATCTTGCTTAATGAGGAGAAGGTGGTGCCGAACTTACTCACAGCCGGGGAGACACAAGTTGACAACGACGTTTGGTACCTAGACAACGGAGCTAGCAATCACATGATCGGCCACCGAGGCAAGTTCAAGGAGCTCAATGAGAACATTACCGGAACCGTCAAGTTTGGTGATCGATCCACGGTAGAGATCAAGGGGAAAGGCTCTATCCTCTTCCAGTGCAATAATGACGATCAAAGGATATTACCTGAGGTATATTATATACCGAGTTTAAAATCCAATATCATTAGCCTTGGTCAGATGACTGAAGATGGAAGTAAAGTTATTTTTGCTGATAAGTTCTTGAGTGTGTTTGATAGGAATGGTGCTCTCTTGATGAGGGTGACACGTTCAACTAACCGACTGTACAGGATAGAGTTGAAGACATGCAGGCCGACGTGTTTGATAGCGAACATTGATGATCCAGCTTGGTTGTGGCATGATCGTCTTGGGCATGTTAATTTCTTTGCCCTCAAGATGATGACCGACAATAGGATAGCTTCTGGGTTGCCGAAGATTGTGCACCTGAACCAAATATGCGAGGGATGCCTTGTCGTCAAGCAAACAAGACTTCCATTCCCTTCGCAAGCAAATTTTAGAGCTCAGAAGCCGTTGGAATTATTACATGCCGATCTATGTGGCCCGATCACTCCATCTACACTTGCTGGTAACAAATATTTTCTCCTTGTTGTTGATGATTTCAGCCGGTGGATGTGGGTGTACATGTTGAAGGCCAAGAGTCAGGCCTGTGAAGCTTTCAAGAAGTTCAAGATCGAGGTGGCGAATGCATGTGGCCACAAGGTGAAGACCCTGAGAACAAACCGTGGTGGCGAGTTCTTGTCAAAGGAGTTCACCCAGTTATGTGAAGACTACGGCATCAAGCATCATCTCACTGCACCGTACACCCCACAGCAAAACGGTGTAGTGGAGAGACGCAATCGCACGGTGATGGCCACGACAAGGAGCTTACTCAAGAGTATGCATATGCCAGGAACGATGTGGGGCGAAGCAGTCAGGCATGCGGTGTACTTGCTCAACCGACTACCAACCAAAGCGTTGTGCAATCTCACACCTTACGAAGCTTGGTTTGGTAAGAAACCTCCTCTAGAACACTTGAGAATATTTAGATGTGTGGCACATGTGAAGGTTGCAGGAGCTTATCACAAGAAACTTAACGACCGGAGCACGTCAATGATGTATATTGGCGTAGAAGAAGGGAGCAAAGCGCATCGCCTCTATGATCTTCAACACAACAAAGTTCATGTAAGCAGGGATGTTACGTTCGAGGAAGGAAAAGAATAGGAGTGGAGTGTAGACGGAGATGAAAGACCACCCAACTGGGTGGAGTTCACAGCGGAAGGGGAATCAGCAGCTGGCCGATCCAGCTCACCGACAGCCGTCGGCCCAGGTGCAGATGCTGAGGCAGCGAGTCCCACTGCATCGGAGGCGTTCGGAACACCGGGCACTCCTATCTCTCAAGATGAACCTGTGCGCTACCGTTCCCTAGCAGATATCTATGCAGAGACAGAGGTGGCTAACCTTCCCACAGAGGAATTGTTTCTGGCCACTAAAGAACCCACGAGCTATAGTGAGGCTGCAACAAAGCAAGAATGGCGGACAGCCATGGAAAATAAGATGGAGGCCATCGAGAAGAATAAGACTTGGGTACTCACAGAGCTACCGCGGAGCTCCAAACCCATTGGCCTCAAATGGGTGTACAAACTGAAGAAGGACAACGATGGCAACATCCTCAAGCAAAAGGCGAGACTTGTAACGAAGGGCTACGTTCAACAGCATGGCTTGGACTTCGATGAGGTGTTTGCACCTGTGGCGAGACTTGATACCATCAGGACGATCCTTGCTATATCAGCACAGCGTGGATGGGAGGTGCACCATCTGGATGTTAAGTAGACATTTCTAAATGGTGATCTCCAGGAAGAAGTGTCCGTGGTCCAGCCTGAAGGGTTCGTTGTGAAGAAGGAAGAGCACAAGGTCTACAAATTTTCCAAGGCGCTCTACGGTCTACGCCAAGCACCACGGGCGTGGAACACACGACTTGACAAATGCTTGAAGGGCATCGAGTTTGTAAGGTGCTCTCAAGAGTAGGCGGTATACACTAGGAGCAACGGAGGGGATGTACTCATTGTTGGTGTGTACGTGGATGACTTGATCATCACTGGCTCAATTGCAGATGAGATCAGGTTTTTCAAGCTGCAGATGATGAAGGAGTTCGAGATGAGCGACCTTGGGCTACTTTCCTACTATCTTGGTATAGAGGTGGACCAGAGAGGTGATTGCATTTCGCTAAGGCAAGCGGCCTACGCGAAGAAGATCTTGGTTTAGTTCGGAATGATGGATTGCAACCCAGACCAGTATCCCATGGAGGCAAAGCTAAAGTTTGGAAAGGACCCTGAAGGAACACCGGTGGATGTAACACAATATAGACGAGTCATTGGATGCTTGAGGTATCTAACTCACACCCGACCCGATATCTCTTATGCTATGGGGATTGTGAGTAGGTACATGGAGAAGCCTACAGTTTTGCATCGTCAGGCGGTCAAGCACATTCTGAGATATGTAAAGGGCACCGTGTCCTATGGATTAGTGTACAGACGAAGGCGATGCAATGAAGAATTGGTGGGATTCACTGACAGTGATCTTGCGGGAGATGTTGATGACAGACGCATCACAAGCGACATGACATTCTATCTAGGTGATAGTCTGGTCACTTGGACATCACAGAAGCAGAAGACGGTGGCATTATCCTCTTGCGAGGTTGAGTTCATGGCGGCAACAGATGCAGCATGCCAAGGTCTATGGCTGAGGAGCTTAGTCAGCGAAGTGACCAACATCGAGCCCAAGCCAGTTACTCTCTTCGTTGACAACAAGTTCGTGATTGCCTTGATGAAGAATCCAGTATTCCATGGAAGAAGCAAGCACATCGACACACGTTTCTATTTCATTCGTGAGTGTGTTGAACAAGGGCAGATTAAAGTGGAGTTCGTGAGCACGAGCAAGCAGCGGGCGGACATTCTCACAAAGGCACTAGCAAGGGTGAAGTTCATCGAAATGCGGGAGCTGCTAGGAGTAAGGAACTTAGACTCTCGTCCAGATTAAGGGGGAGAAAGTGAAGGTTAATCTGTCCTACCCATTAAGGGGAGTGTCCCTAGTTTGTAGGAGTCCATGTTAACGGAAGAAGTTAATGGAAGAAGTTAGAAGTTAGTGGATAATGTTAGGGGAAGATGATAATCATATTTTATTACAATTTTATACCCTCATTATCTATTTTATATGAATAAATATACTACTAATAATTATTTTTATCTTTAATTGCAGGTTAATGAAGAATAAATCTCAAAACCCTCATCTCTCAACAAAAAGCCCATAATTTAATGAAGAAATGAAGCCATGAAGCCCAGTCGTGTAGCCTGTAGAAGCCGGAGAAAATCAAAAATCCAATATGAAAAGAAATCATATTCAAAATGGTTGGCTGCAAAGAAACGACGATATCTCCTAATCCGGAAGGCGGAATTTAACATATAATATATGAAAATCGCCTATCTCGACGAGACGAAGCCAACCGTGAAGTCAGAATTTTCATTAGGGCATCGATGCCAGCATCGATGCAGGCATCGATGCCGGTATCGATGCGAAGTCCTCCAGATTTTATCAACGGCCGAAATTGCATTCTTGGGGCTCAAGTTTGATCCAATGGCTCTCATTCACTGATGTTTACTATAAATAGGGGTAGAGAGTGAGGGGTTAGAGGTGTGAAAATTTTTGTAACTCCTTTTGGAGAGAAGGGCTACTCTTAATTGAGAAGGCCTTCCAAAATTGTAACTTTTGTTGCAATTAATAATAATAATTTTTTTACCACTTTAAATTTTTCTCTTCTTCTCTTTTTTGGATGATGAAGATGAAGATGAAGATGGAGAATTATTTAAAGGTTTGTATTTCTTTTCTTTTTCTCTCTTATTGCTTATTAGTGTAGCTTTATTTCTATGCTTGTAGTTTAGATTTTATTTTCTTGTTAAATAGCCAAGAGGCTAGAACCCTCTTGCCTTAGATTTATTTCATGCTTATAGAATAGATTTATTTTCTTACATTTAATTCTTACAATTTTATTTTGTAGTTTAGATATTGCAATTTATTTTGTAGTTAGATTTTAATTTCTTATACTATTCACCTTGAGGCTAGAACCCTCTTGGGTTTAGTTTTTCTTTTTGTTTATTTTTATTTTGTTTGATTCGCCTTTAGGCTAGAACCCTCTAGGGAATCACCCTTTTCTAAGAAGTGGGTTCAATTTTAGATTACCCATATCTATAATTGAATCCACCATCTTTAATTTCTTGCATTTTCTTTTATTTTTATTCTTGATTTTTATTTTCTTTTTCCTTCTTGCCTTATTGATCATATTCATTCTTTGTCACAT